GAACATGCGCCATTTGTTAAAATCGCATTACAAGCGTTGTTGTGCTGAGTTTGTACTTGACATGCACCTAGCAACCCAAACCTATCATCCTATCCCTCGCATTTGACACACGTCTAGACATCAATCCCCCCGAGCAATCCACCCCTACGCAGCGAGTTAACGTCCTCTTCTGTGCCCAACTGAAAGTAACTTAGCAAAAGGACAAGACTCCATCAGTCTTGCACCTCAAAAAATTCACTACCACAAACGACAGAACGTGTTTCGGGGCCATACTAACACTCGCTTTATACAAATAACAGCAAACGCGTTTCGTATCTAAACACACACAGTGAGTCGCGGACATATTGTGCAGCGAGCATTCGAAAGACGCGTTTAACAGCTGCTGACACGAGCCAACGCACTATCTCACACGCAGAGGTACCCGTTCACAGCACGCTTCTCTACTTAGGGATGTTGTTGGTTTTTCACATTTGGTGGTACCTAGACAGCTTGATGATGCAGATCTGTGATGTTGTCTAATGGTCGTAGCTGTCTGTCTTGTTGGTGAAGTCATTGCTAGATGTCGTTAGTAGGTCACGATGGAAAGTAGCAATGCCGCCACCACTCAGCCCCTTTTAATGATCCCTGTGGCACTGTTGGGTGTCAACCAGCGTGCAAATATAGTCACAACACCCTGTCACGGACTCCAGGTTATGGGTATGCGATAGGAATCACTAACTGCCACGACGAGATTTCAACGATGCCTCCAGTCGAACCTGCGAAGCACTGAGAACCATGGCGATTACTTGCCCCTGAGGCGGCGCACACGCACTACATCACCACACACACACAACACACACACACACACACACACACACAACAACCAACCACACACACACACACACACACACACACACTGTGTGTGTGCGTGTGTGCGCCCAGGCAAGTATGCATGTATGTGCTCATGCGTGGAGGTTAATCTCTGTGGCAGTTGTGATCTATCCATTAACCTGGTGACAGTGTGATATTGCAGTGGTGACCCAACAGTGCGGGACAGGGGGCGGCGAGTAATTTCACGCTACTAAGCATCTATTGACTCACACAAACACACACACACACACACACATTCACACAAGCTGGCAGAGACAACCAAAAGTAAACCAAAACTCCCTAAGTAGAGAATATTTTTATTTATAATATATTTAGCACTTAACTTTGATCTCGCTCACAAACTCGCTCACTTTTGTTTAGTAGAACGTTCTGTTATTGTCAAACCAGTTCTAAATATGCCAAACACGTCAGCCGTATTTGGTTTGGGAGGGATATTTTTTAGTCAAAACTGATGAGTCTGTCCTTTTCTAAGTTACTTTCAGTTGGCACAGAAGACGTTAACGGTAGCGGTTGCTCGGCGGAGTTATTCTAACGTTGTCAATCGAGGAAATAGGTTGGTTCAGGGGTCATGTAAGTCAACTCACAACAACCTGTACAGCTTATGGCCATTTCCGTGGCCATGTGTCTATCGTTGCTATTTATCTAGCAAAGGCACAGGAAGAAGTCATCCACATTTTTACCCACAAAGCTTTGATTGTCTGTGTTTCCACCTGGGGAAACACAACACTAGACGGTTTGGAATCACTAAAACAAGACAGCAATTCAGAGACCTGCAGCCAGGCTGTACAACACATTAGAGTGCCTGTTCCCTGCTCTTCCAGTCAGGAGAGCTGCTGTTATAGCTCACTCAATGGTTAGTCTGACCCTGCACATCCTATAAAAAATGGAGCATGAGATTCCTCACACTCATCATCAGTGGAGGAGTAGGAGGCAGGTACTCCAACGTGGGTGAACCAACACATCTGCTATCTGAGTGTTTAGGACATATTGAGCCAACTCGTACATCATTACTGACAACGAAGAAGTGGATTATCCCTGCCCGGCTGCTTTGAAATTTTAAAGTAGGGGTTGTTGGGGTTTTTTTATTTTTTCAGTCATGCATTCAGCCGACTACAGCTGCTGACCTCTGCAAAGGAGCAGTCTCCACCTAGCATATAGAGGTCTCATATTCAATAGTGTCACTTCAACATTAGGCTTTTTTAGGTACTTGACCATCAGATAAGTGAGCTCTGCAATTCAATGATACTAGTTTTCTGAGTTTGGGTGCTTGAAATCAATGTATGGCCTTGTTCTACTTTACCAACGAGACCCTTTAAATAATGCAGCTTGAACACGCTTTCAACAGACACTTGGCTGTGTGAATGTTGTTTGGTGTAAAAGTACTAACACTGACCTTCATGTTAATGTGTGTGTGTGTGTGTGTCCAGGTGTGACTAAAGTGGACTACGGTGACATCACGTCTCGTTCAGCTCTGAGACAAAAGCTTCAATGTAAACCCTTCAGTTGGTACTTGGAGAACGTCTACCCTGACTCCCAGATCCCGAGGCACTACTACTCCCTGGGAGAGGTACGATCATTCTCACACACACACACACACACACACACACAGATGCATCTTACGAGTCACTGCCTTGCTGAAATCCAAGCAGACATAACAAATCTGAATCTTATTTCAATTAAAGGGTGATGGTGTTTTCTTAATGTGCTTTCTGCGTGTGAATTCTGTTCAGATCCGTAACGTGGAGACCAACCAGTGCCTGGACAACATGGCCCGCAAGGAGAATGAAAAAGTCGGCATTTTCAACTGTCATGGCATGGGAGGCAACCAGGTATCTGAGAACCAAGACAATGAAACACTGTTTGCCACAGTTATATTATGGTCCTCCCTCGTAGCAATCATGAAAGAAAGAAGCCCAAGTAAGAATGTGCAAAAGATGAAAGAGATTAGTTTTAAAATGTGAAACCTGTTTGCGTGACGTGCAGGTTTTCTCCTACACGGCCAATAAGGAGATCAGGACAGACGACCTGTGTCTAGACGTGTCCAAACTAAATGGACCCGTCATGATGCTCAAGTGCCATCACCTCAAAGGCAACCAGCTCTGGGAGTACGACCCTGTGGTGAGTGGAAGAAATAATGAAAATGTACATGTTACATTTCCCCACGGGGATTATTAAAGTATTTCTGATTCTGATTCTGGGTTAGCGGTATATGCAGGGAAATAATGAATGCATTATTAGAGTAAATGTACACAAGCTAACACACAGAGGGTTCTCACGCAGGTCTCGAAACGTACAGAAAATTGAGAGTTCATTTAAACCAGAAAAGCCTGGAAAGTTGTATATTTTCGAGGTTCATCGTGTGTTTTTTTCTATTTGAAATATAATAAATAAAACAAGACGGATGAAATGAAAACAGTGAAGTTGACAAAAAGCAATAAAACAAACAATAAAGCAGCTTAAAAAGAAACCTTTTCTCAGTTTTCACCAACAAATACCCTCATTTATCAAAAGAAGATGGTTGGTCTGAACTGATTTTTTTACTTTGATTTCATATCCCTTTTCATCCAAAGGTTTCACTGTTCCTGTTGCCAAGACAGTTTACTGTAAACGGCTCAATGCATCCAATAATAGAAAATGAAGAGAGATTAAGGAAAAACACAAATGAAATGCAGATTATTCACCAAATGTTCTTTAACTTTAAATAAAAAGGAACACAAATGAATTCCTAGATTTGTTTTAAACTGAAAATAACAAATTCAGCATATCACTGATTCACGTATGACAGCACATATATAAGACCAGCTGTCATTTCAGTTAGTGCGTTATTTATTGTCTTCAGGTTTATTCGTTGACACGTTACCCAACTCAACCACAGCCGGCCTCACACTGAACTAAGCCAAAAATAAACATAGAACATAGCATTCTGAAATTGAGAATACGAGCATCCTTGTCTACAGATATATTATTTGAATAGATATTTATTTACGTGCCCTTGTGAATTTAAATGAACCAATAAAAGACATCGATTTGCATCCTCTCACACACACACACTCTCTCTGTGTGTTTCCCTGCCGTGCAGAAGCTGACCCTGATCCACGTCAACAGCAACCAGTGTCTGGACAAGGCCAGCGAGGAGGACAGCCAGGTCCCCAGCGTCAGAGACTGCACACACACACGCTCCCAACAGTGGCTACTCCGCAACGTCACACTACCAGAGGTCTTCTGACCACGCTCCACACTCCTCACAAACACACACACTCACACACACAGCGGCCCAGAGTAAGCAATCAGGGGAACAGACGGTGTTTATTAAAATTGGGCACCAGGAAAGGAAAGACTTCCCATGAGGGGATTTGGGAAGAGAGGAGGACGGATTGGACGGTACTACCTCTGCCACAAATCAGAGGAAGGAGTGTGTTTGACCCTCCTCAGAGCGAGACGCGACGAAAAACTCCCTCTAGGAGACGATGGCTGTTTGTTTTTACGTTCATTTTGTTGTTTTAAAGAGATTTTAACCACAGAGAGTGACTTGCTTCTGGGCGTGGATATGAGACTGGTGGAGTCGAGGTTCTGCACTCACAGCTTCCCTGGACATAGCAGTCCACCCCTCAACTCATCACTTAACGTTTACTGACTGCCTCTTGTGAGAGAGTGTGTGCACTCATTT